CGCTCCGCGCGCCTGCGACCAGCTGACCGAGGGGGGGAATGTGTCGAGAGTCTTGTCGGCAGAGTTGCAGGTGGCGCGCAGAACGCTACCAATGGACGATGGCAGGCCCTTTGGGGCACCTGGCTCTTTCATCATAGGTCGAAGATGGGCTGAATTGTGCCATCGCGGCGGAGCTTGAGTTCGCAGCCATCGTCCCTATTAGGGTACAAGAGCAGGCGTGCTTGCAAGCTTAGCAGCCTGCAGCCTGAGATTTTCAGCGGGGGGGGGGGGGGACTTGGTGCGTCCGACGAGGGCCGCTCAGCAGCAGCAGCCCTCGGGAGGAGGCGGGGCGAGGCGGGGCGGGGCAGGGGGGGGCGGGGCGAGGCGGGAGGAGGCGGGGCGAGGCGGGAGGAGCGCACCCCCGGTGGCGGCGGCATGCCCGGTGGCGGCGGCATGCCCGGCGGCGGCGGCATCTGCCGGGGGTGGTCAGGGGTGAGAATAGGCGTGCGGGCGTGGCGGCGGGCAGGAGGGATGCTGCAGGGAGTGTGCTGCGGTCGTGGGATGAAGACGGCGGAGGCGGCGAGGGCGGTGGCGACGGAGGGGAGAGGAGATGATGAAGGAGGCAGGGGCGGCGGTGGAGGCGGCGAGGGCGGTGGTGGCGACGGAGGTGGTGGCGATGAAAGGGGGAGGGGAGGGAGGAGGGGAGGTGCGCACCCCCGGTGGCGGCGGCATGCCCGGTGGCGGCGGCATGCCTGGCGGCGGCGGCATCTGCGCAGAGGGCGGGGAAGAGGGGGTAGGAGGGCGGGCGGGCAAGGGGAGTGCAGCGGCAGTCTCAGGCGGCGGGGAGTGCGAATGGCGGGGAGAGGGGGAGAGGGGCGTCGAGAGGTGCGCACCCCTGGCGGCGGCGGCATGCCCGGCGGCGGCGGCATGCCTGGCGGCGGCGGCATCTGCGAGAGGCGACAAGGGTGGTTGGCGGAGCGGGGGGGGGGACGAATGGGGGCTGAATGGCGTTGCGGTTGGATGGCGCGGCGTGCGGTGCGGTGCGGCATACGCCGGTGCCGCGCGCCGCAGCCGCAGCAGGCTCGGGAGGGGTGCGGGAGGGGGGGGCGCACCCCGGGCGGCGGCGGCATCCCTGGCGGAGGAGGTGGCATGCCCGGAGGCGGCGGTGGCGGCGGCAGCCCTGCGCCCAACCCGGGCAGCGAGGCGTCCCCGGCCGCAAAGAACTGGTTTGGCCTGCGGGAGGGTGAGGGGTGAGGGGCGAGGGGTGAAGGGCGAGGGGCGAGGGGCGAGGGGCGAGGGGCGAGGATGCGGGCGAGAGTGCGGGTGCGGGCGATGGTGGCGAGGGCAGCGAGGGCGGGGATGGGGGAGTGCGGGGGTGGAGTGCGGTGGTGGCAGGTCTCTGCGCAGGTCTCGCGCAAGTCTCGAGCGAGGGTGCGGCGGTGGTGCGACAGGTTTGGTGCGACAGGTTCGGGTGGCGAGGGCGTGGGCGGGTGGCACCGCGCGGAGACGGAGCGGCGGTTCGGGTTGTTTGCGGCGAGGAGTCGCTCCCCGGCGGACCCGTGGCGCTCGCCTGCGGGGGGCAGTAGCCGTGTGCTGGGCGGTAG